GAGCAAGTTTCAGAGTCTCCTCTGACATCCATTTTGACCTTTTCCTTCTTTCTTGTCTTCTTAATGACTTTTTGCTCTCTTCATGTATAATGTTCTTGATGTCATCCCACAACTCTTTTGGTAGTTAGGCACAGATAAAGGACCTAAGCTTTACCAGGGGCAAAAGCATTTTTGAGGGGGCTTCAAATGTTTGTGGAAAAATTTTATTTTTCTGTGAATTTTCTGATGCCCCCTCATATATTCTACCTCTTCAATTTGAAGACACTTTTATTTTTTTTTTAATTAACCATTTTAAAGCGAACAATTCTATGGCACATGTATGGCACAATTCACAGTATTGTGCAACTACCACCTTTCTTTAGATGCAAAACACTTCCATCACCTCAAAATAGAACCCATTCCCATTAAACAGTTGTTCCCTGTTTCTCCCTTCCCCAGTCCCTGGCAACTACCCGTTTGTTTTTGTCTATATTGATTTGCCTATTCTGGATATTTCATATAAATAGAATCATTCAAAATATGTAACCTTTTGTGTCTGACTTTTTTCACTTCTCATATTTCAATGTTCATCTATCTTATAGCATGTCTCAGTACTTTATTCCTTTTTATGACTGAATAATGTTTAATTGTGTAGAAAAAGATGAGGCTTTCTGCTTCAGCAGATTTACAGCCTTGGAAACCCTATACAGAGTCCCTATGAGTAGGAACCGACTCTTTGGCATTTAAATGACAACAACAATATTTGTTTGTTGTTGTTGTTTTTTAACTTTTTATTGTGAATTGGGAGTCCTGGTGTGGTGCTGCAGGTTGATACACTGGAATGCAAGGTTGGTTTGAACTGCAGCGTTGGTTCAAGCTCACCCATCAGCTACTCCTCAGAAACCCTATACAGGGTTACTTTGAGTGTCGGAACCGACTCCAACGCACTTAACTTGTGAATTGAGTGAAGGTTTACATAGCAGATCAGTTTTACATTCAGCAAATCATAGATTATGCTCATTACAATGATTGCAAAATCTCCATGTACCTCTAATCACTTCAGGTGTGGTGCTGCAGAATAAACACTGGACTGTTACTGAAAGGTTGGCAATTCAAACCCACTAACGGCTCCTTGAAAACCCTATACAGAGTTGCTATGAGTTGGAATTGACTTGAGGCTCTTAACAAGAACAACAACATTGTTTTATAGATTCCTTTCCCATACTCCATTGTTCCCTCTAGGTCTGCAGATCACAGATTTTGTAGATTTATATCAAGAGTGTCTATTAGAATAGGAAAAAAGGAATTAAAAATGAAGGTAGAATTTTCAAGGCCCTTAGTTGCAGAGACCTCAAAAGAAGGAAAGAGGGGAGGTGACTAGAAGGTCCTTGCTGGGTAACTGGAAATCAGTGGAATCTGTAAGGACCAGAAAGGAAGAAACATTTCCTTTTAGGCAATAAGAATGGAAGTAAAGTGTTCTAGGTGATATGGTTTAGAATGGAGATAGAGACTCAAAAGAAAGTGATGGTTTAGGAATCCTCTAGTTTGGAAAAAATGCAAACTCAACTCTACTTTGTTTAGTATCTATTGTAGAGAAAGTAAGTAAAGAAAAGGAACTTTGGAAGTTCTAAATTTTGTGTAAACTATAACCAGGGTGCTGGCTAAGTTTGAATTAGCAAACTATATTCTGTGTAAATGTCTTGTATGTGTGTGTTTGGTCGTCTTTTAATGTCTTAATAAAACTGTTTTATCTCAGCTGGAACTATGAAGAAAAGGATTTTTTCCATTTCTTAATGCAGACAAGAGAGTTAGATTCTCTGTGTAGTCTTAGAGCTTGGGGTGCTACATTGTCCTGGCTGCTGGCCATCTCATGGAGCAAAAACTTGGACACCGAGGAGTGAGAACCCTGAAAGGAAAGCATTGGGACCGTGATGCTTTCCTTCTGGCTAGCCCTTCACGGTACTTAGAGACTTATCAGTGACACGCACACACGCACATTCTCTTTTTTTTTTTTTTTTAAAGTCTTTTTGTCACTTGTGTTCAAAGTGCTTTAAAGAAAGGAGCAAGGGAAGAGAGAAGGACAAATGACTATGATTCTGAGGGAGGGTAATGACCACTGGTTCCAGTTTCTACTTATACTGGGCAGATTGTCTTGTCTACTTTTTCAAATAAAGAAGTGAAAGTTACTCTGCAAGAAGTGATTTGGAAAGATGTAAAGAATGAGTCTTAGTTACTTTCGATTTTTTGGGTGTTTCAACTCTGAATTTGTATGAATGTGTCTTTTTGAGTTTTTAATGCCTCCCATAACTTCTGTGACTTTAGGTGCTACTCGTGAGCAGTAGTCGCCATCCAGATCGATGGATTGTCCCCGGCGGAGGCATGGAGCCCGAGGAGGAACCAAGTGTGGCAGCAGTCCGTGAAGTCTGTGAGGAGGTATGCACAGAGAAGAAAGGGCACAAGTATGCCTTGTAATCGTGTACATGTCTTGTCCATGTAGTTCTTTAGTTTATCGCCACTCACTGAATAAACATGTTCATGATCACAGAATGATGGCATTTAATAGGTACATTGTGCTTCCTTGATTAAAGGGGCAGTTGGGTTGTAATATGATTCTGTTTATCAGGTACTCTATGGAGAAGTGGATTTATAGTAGTGACTATATCTAATTGGAGGAGCTCTGGTAGCATAGTGGTTACGAATCAGGCTGTGGACCGCAAGGTCAGCAGTTCAAAACTACTAGCTCTGTTCCACAGGAGAAAGATGAGGCTTTCTGCTTCCATAAAGATTTACAGCTTCGGAAACCTGGTACAGGGTCACTATGAGTCGGAACCAACTCCATGGCACATAATCACCACCATATCTAATTGGAGTTCTAGTGTGGCACTGAAGGGTAATGTGCTGGACCACAAAGGTCAGTTTGAACGGCAAGGTTCAAACCCACCAGCCATTCCTCGGAAATCCTATACTGGGTCGCTGTGAGTCGGAGCTGACTCAACAGCACTTAACAACAACAACATATCTAATTATGCCAAACATTCTTTTTGATCTCTTAGGGGTCTGTTCCAACTTTGCCTCTGTTACCTATGGCAGAAAGTCAAGAGTCAAATAGTTCTTTAGCTCTAAGAAATATAAGGAACAGGTAGTATTGGTATAAATCTCTCATCTGGATGATGAGGAAGAAGCCCTTGTTCTCCTGATTTCTTGAGTCCTGGGCCATTGAATGATGGCTACACCAGCAATTCTGTTAGCCAGAATTTGTTAACTGATACAACTCAAGAGATACTAAACTATAAACCTAACTCATGGTCATCAAGTTGATTCTGACGCAGAGCAAGCCTATAAAATAAAGTAGAACTTCTTAGGATTCCCAAGGCTTAAATATTTACAGAATCAGAGAGATCTCATCTTTATCTCACAGAGTAGCTGGTGACCTTGAGGTTAGCATTCCAGCATTTATCCTACAATGCTACCAGTACTCCTTCAAGAGATACTAGTATCTTCATTTTTATTTAGTCAGGTGATGTTCACGTACATGTACTGAATTTGTCAGCCAAGCCAAGTGTGCATACTAGAATAATCCGGGATGAACAACCAGAAGAAATAAAGTCTTGGATCATTAATTTCTTTGCTTCAAGAGTTCACTGTCTGATTAGGGAAATGTAAAAACAGATTACAGTTCAAAACCAGAAGGAAGAAACGGTTTCTCAAGGGCCTCTTGTGCCATCATACTCTGCTCTGTTTTTATTATTTCATTTAGGACTCAGCTGGGTAATGTAACTTTTATAACCAGTTTACTTGTTCCAGGAAGGGTTTAAGATTGATCTTAAGGACATAAAATACCACTTAGAACAAGTCTAAATTCTACATTTTTGGGGGGTCCAACCATTGCTGAAGTCCCTCCTAGGCTAATCTTACCCACTGGAAATCTTTCTTTGGTCTGAACTTGTCCAAGACTCACGTTGCCTTTGTCTCTCTCATTTTTATCATGTGTGTGGTGTCCATAACTAGATTGTAATAGTTGAAAAAAGATTATGCCTCCTATTTAATATTGCCTCTTTCTGTGTCTAGTACACAGCTAAGTGAGCAGAAAGTAAGGGAATACTTTCCTTTCGCATCTCAGAGGCTGATTATCTGCCAAAAAGCAGGGGTCTGCCAGCAAGAAAGAAGTTAATGACTTTTAGTTAGGCAATCAACATGTCGCCCATAATAGCTAACCAAATTAAAGGTGCTACTCCTAACAAGTATTGTAGCTGTGTATACCTTTCGTAACCAATAAAAAAAATAAAGCATTTGGCCTCAAATAGCAGAGTGATGGTGGCTAAGACTGTGTATCATCAGAGGCTACATACACTGTTGTTCGGTAGCATTTGTTGTTGTTGTAAGTGCCATCAAGTCATTTCTGACCCATAGTGACCCTGTATAGGGTTCCCAGGGAAGACTTTGTGGGCTACATAATCTTTCACAGTTACCTAACCTCTGCCATTGTACCACACAGCAGTACATAAATGGATGAACATGAATTGCTCCAATAGAACTTTATTTTCTAAAACTAGAGGTGAGCTGAATCCCTGGTTTAAGTAAGTCCTTACTACTCAAAGACTGTGAATAGTGGACCAGCAGCAGCAGCAGTAACATCATGAGTATTTTAGAAATGGGAGAATCTCAGGCCCCATACCATTCGTACTGTATCAGAGTCTGATTTTAACCAGATCCCCAGGTGATACGTACAACTACTGCATTAGAGTATTGAATTCTTGTATATGAGTATCCTGAGAATTCTTTTTAATGGAGTTGTGTAGAGAATGCTCTTTGAAGGATAGACTCTGAGTTGCCTGTCTCCATATCCAGTCTAATCCCATTCTGACATGAAGATACTGTCAAACTAAAAAGATACCATTCCCAAATTCATTCAACATTAATGCAACTCAATCTCCCTAATAAGATTAGGTTCAACTAATCAGAATCACTTGCATAAGACTGTTTTAGAGTGACTTCACAGGGAAATAGAGTGATGGTTTTAGGACAGAGAGAAAAGAGAAAGTTCAAAGAACTTGTACAAAGACTTACAACTCGATTTTTAGAGTTTTAGGGGAAATCTGACAGGTCTACAGTTGTAGTATACATTTGATTTTGACTTTGTCTTAGCAAAGTTGATTTTAGTTGTTACTGTTGTTTTGTTTCTGAGTGTTAAGATTGAATTGCCCTTGGGCTGTACAAGTGGGGCAAAAGATGTAAAAAACTGTAGATAGTTGAAGAAAGAAATGTAGTATCCTTTTGTTTTTTAGAAATGACACACCATGCTTCTGTAGGTGAAAAGGAGAAGAGAGTAAAGTAGGAATAAAGCATTTGTGAATCGAGTAGGTGACAATTGTAGCACAGAATAATAAACTATACTCCTCAGCTGTTCAGGGAGCCTTGGTAGTGTAGTGGTTACAAGTTGGGCTGCTAATCACTAGGTTAGCAGTTCTAATCTAGTAGCTGCTCTGCAGAAAAAAGATGAGGCTTGCTCCTCGCATAAAGATTTACAGTCTCGGACTTCCGGCAAAATGGTGGACTAGGCATATGCACTAAACAGACCCTCAATAACAAAGACTGTGGTTGTTGTTAAGCGTCATCAAGTAGGTTCCAACTTACAGCGACCCTGTATAGGGTTTCTGAGGAGCGGCTGGTGAGCTTGAACTGCCAACCTTGCGATCAAACTGACTTTGCAATCCAGCACGTTAACCCACAGTGCCACACTACTACTCCATCCATAACAAAGATACAAAAGACAAAATAAAACAGACACAGATGAAAATTCTGGCACCCTGAACTTCAGAAAAAAGATTAAAAAGGTGGATGAAGTACTTGCTGGGAGGAGAGGCTGAGCAGGGATGGCAAGACAGGGAGACTTGACTGGTGAGTGACTTGACCAGGCATGATTCAACCATCTTGTCAAGTGCTTTGGTAGTGGAGGGAGGCCTGGCAGAGCAGATTTGTACAGGTGATGTACAAGGTATGAGTTCTTTTTCCCCACTCTCCCCTGGTGACCAGAAAAAAGTGTGACCAGCTTCCATCCTCATCCACTCCCAGCGCAGACCCTGCTCTCTGGAAGTTTGGAGCATTATGGTTGGGAGCCAGGCCAGTGTGAGGTGGGGCCTGGCTGCACTGCTTTGGTGGTTGCATTCAGGTAGCCTCAGTTCTAGACCTACAAAACCTACAGAGCCACTGGACCAGCATTTAACCAGTCATGCTGCCCTGTGATCCTAACAGACACTGAAACCAGCTCCTACTACTTCTGGATTGAGTGCCCTGAACATAGATAACACCAAGGCTAATAACGCCATCTAGGGCCAGGAATTCTTTTGTTACATCCCTTCCATAACCACCTCATGAACTCCTTGAATTGCAAGAGCTCCAGAGTTTTCTCCCTTCTGGGTCCAGCAAGTGCACTATATGTTTTTACAAATAAAATGCTACAGTGCTCTGGAGACAACAGACAATTTTAGCTTACATGAAGAAACGAGAGTAAGACTCAACCAAATGGCCAAGATGCAGAGCCAGAGGACGTTTCTGATGAAGAAAAGGTAGCAGAACTAACTGAAAAGGAATTCAAAAGAATGATAATTAGGTACCTTCAAAGGATTGATAGAAAAATTGAGGAAAGCAAGTAGAGCACAATAAAAACTTTAGAAGAGTTCAGGAAAACACTGCAAGAAGAAACAGACAACATAAATGCAAATTTTGAAACACTACAAAACCTGTAATTAGAAACCCGGAAGAATAATACTAAAATCTCAGAAATGTACAGTATATTAAAAGGTCAAAGGAGTAGATGCAGAGCAATGGAATCCTGAATTAGTGAGCTTGAAGATAAATCTCTCATTTCTAATATACTAGAAGAACAATCAGAAAAAAATGAACAAATCTAAAGCCTGAAAGTTAAATGATCCATCATGAAAAGGAACAACTTGCAGGGTGAACAAAATTCCAGAACAAAAAGAGACAATAAAAAGCACAGAGAAAATTGTTGAAGAATAGTTGGAAGAAAACTTTCCTAGCATCATAAAAGACTAGAGGATAAGCATACAAGAAGCTTGAATGAAACCCAAACAGGATAGATCCTAAAAGAAAATCACCAAGACATGTCATAATCAAACTTATCAAAATCAGAGGAAGGGAAAGAATCCTGAGAGCAGCTCAGGAAAGACAAAAATTTACCTACAAAGGAGAACTAGTAAGGCTAAATTCAGATTTCTCAACAGAAATGCAGGCAAAAAAGCAATAAGATGGCATATACAAAACTCTGAAAGAAAATGACTACCATCCAAGAATCATATACCCAGCAAAGCTGTCCATCAAATACAACCAGGAAGTTAGAACATTTTCTTATAAACAGAAATTAAAGGCATTTGTAATGACCAGAACAATTTTACAAAAAGTGATAGAGGGAT